CCGTGCCTTGTGCAGAACCATTTATTTTAGTCTTGGCTCCTTATTTAGCCCCCATCTCTACAATTTTCAGTTTCGCCATTTTGATTATGGTCGTTCGAACGAATCTTTCTGAAGAAAAAAAAAAGGTCCCTTTAAATGAATGTGTTCCGTTATCTTGAGCAAGGAATTTCACGATGGAGTAATGGATAGCTGCTCGGATTGAGGAAGTGTTTAGATTCCAGTCGAATTCGTTACATTTTCTTTTGGGAAAGGGATGAATCCATCTCTTCTCTGTCTCACATCAGTTATGGTTAAATAGCAGGACAGACTGGGTGCGAGAGGTGGGTGGCAACCGGTCTAGGAAAATGGCAGCTCTGAATTCAAAGCATCCGACTATAGATTAAATAGCCTCAACAACCTGCAATTGGCCAAATGTGGTAAATACGGCTACATCGCTGCTGACATGGCCAATAAGGGTGGAGTTCCTGGATTTGGATCCGGTGAGCATTCGGCTTTGTCTTCAAGAGAAGTAATGTCAAGAACGGAACGACAAATAAGAATTTGAAGGACAGCGAACAATGAGTGTAATATAAAATGCAGATTGGATCAGTCGGAACGAAACAGTTAAGTGTCGGGGTGGGAAGAGATGGAGAGAAGTTGAGCGAGTATATTAGAGGAGGAGTAAAAAGAGATAAAATGAAAACAACAAAAGGTAGAAGAGAAAGAAAGAAAAAATATCGGAATGGTTACCTTTTTTTTGGTTTTTTGGGGTTTTTTTCTATGAAGAAGACACTAATTTATCTAATTTCACTCGCCATCTTAACTGGCTAAGTCTTCCTGAAACATTTAAAGCAAAAAAAAAAAAAAAAGAAAATACAGATGAGAAAGTGAATATTTCTTTTTGATATCTTCATTTTCTAACAGCGCGTTTCTCGACACATCTTCTCCGAATTACTGTTGCTATGTCCGATGCTTATCAATAGCAGTCAGCACACAAGAAAAATTTGACATCGTTCGGCTTGACGTCCAACGGTCCCTGTCAAAGGTGATTCAGTTCCATCACTTGATGTGAAAATTTCATTCTCTTTTCTTCCTTCTTCTTCGCTCGTGAGGTGACATAGCGTTCAGCAACCGACATCAGGACATTACCTTCCCATTTCCTTTTGTGTTTCTTTTTTTTTTTTGCTTTCTATCCGTCACCGCAAGCGGCAGCTAATAGCCGACATTTTTTTTTTTTTTTTTGTTAATGTTTTATTCATCTTTTGTATTCTTCAACGTTGCGTTCATCCGGTTGGATGGGCTGTCATTCTAACGATTGTCATTTTCTTACCGCTCTCCCATAAGTAAAAAAGACAAAACAAGTATACATGCACACAAAATAATTATAAAATATATGATATAAATACAAAATATGAATACAATATATATATATATATATATATATATATATATATATATATATATGTTAAATATAAATATAATATAATACATATTATAATATATTTAATAATATATTTATATTAATATAATTTATATATTTATATTAATATAATTTATATATTTATATATGTATATATATTTAATAATATATTTATAATGTATTATATATAATATAATACAATATAATAAATATTAAATGTAAATATAAAATATATAAATGCAGAAAAAAAAAGTGAAAAACGACTTAAAATGATAAACCTAATCAAAAGACTAGAAAAAAGTTTTGTCGATAAATAAAATCCTGTGATGGCTCCAGAAGTGTGACTTGTAGGCAGATATAATCTAGACATTTTTTTCTTATTTTGTCTTTCTCTTTAAGTCGCTTAGTAAAATAGTATATATCTTTTTTTTCTCCTATCATGGTTTTAGCTTCTTTTTAAAAAAAAAAAAAACTTATATTGATTTTGTGGTTGCTTTATTTCTAACCGTTGTTCCAAAATTCAAATCTATATTACTAAATCTTTCTTTCAGATCACTTTTCAACAATCTTTGCGAATCGTTTTCTTTCTTTTTTTTTTCTTCCTTTCATTTTCTCGATATTTCGTTTCTTTTTCCTCTTTCTTCTTTTTTTGTCAAATTTGCAGACATTTTAAATTTATTTCATTTATTTACAGATATTTTAAAATTTATTCCTTTATTTCATTTATTCCAATTTACCACAGCCACATTACACGTTTAAATACCAGTTCCCGAAGTTAAGCAACGCCAAGCCTGGATGGGTCACAGCTTTGGAGATACCAGGTACTGTAAGCATCGATGTGTGCGCGGATAACGGCTCAGAATTGGAAATCGTAGACCCGAATTCTAATTCACTGAAAAAAATACCCTCGGAAATGTATGAACCCACCTCTTCTCTCTCCAGCTATGTGTTAATTAGTAAGACTTTTATCACTAAATCATTATTATCTCCAAAAATAAGAAAGTTCTTACAATCTAAAAATAGTCTCTGACTTTAAATAACCTGCAAAAGAATTGATAAGCCGTAGAAAACGAACCAATCAGTCAAACCATACAGCTGTATCACGTTGTAACACCGGTTCTCGTACGATCACCGAAGTTAAGCCCTATCACGTCTGGTCAGTAATTAGATGGGTGACCAGTTGGGAATACTAAGTGCTGTAAGCTTTGGTGTGCGGGTGGTGTAATGGATAATGGATCGGAGTTTTTAATCGGAGAGTTGAGTTCCAATTCCAGTCAAGTTTGTTATATTCACTTATGCGTAAATATCCTTTGGAAAGGTATGAACCCATCTCGTTTCCCACCAGCTATGGGTTAATTAGTAAGATTGTTTCACTCTAGGTTCGCCTATCACCCGGTTCACACTTCTGCCCGATCTTTTGAACAGGAGCAGAAGGATTATCCCTTATTTCCTGTTTAGGATTGGGTTTCCAGTTCCTTCTAAAATCTGCTTCAACTATATACTCCTAACACATGTTTTTCCTACGCTAAGTCCACCACGTAACCCCCTACCTGGATTGGCTGTTAGGGTTTGTATCTGTTTTTCCTACGCTAAGTCCACCACGTAACCCTCTACCTGGATTGGCTTTTGGGGTTTGTATCTGTTTTTCCTACGCTAAGTCCACCACGTAACCCTCTACCTGGATTGGCTTTTGGGGTTTGTATCTCTTTTTCCTACGCTAAGTCCACCACGTAACCCTCTACCTGGATTGGCTTTTTGGGGTTTGTACCGGTTTTTTTGCTACGCTAAGTCCACCGAGAAACCCCCTACCTGGATTGACTGTCGGTGTTTGTATCGGATGAACATTAGTTTAAAAAAAAAAAAAAATAATCATCTTCAAAACATTCTTACAATTTAAAACATTGGTAGTTTTAAAGGGTTGATAAGCCGTAAAAACAAATCAATCCTTCCATCTTTTATAGGGGTTTCTTTCTTATTATTTATCCATTTGTATTTTTTCTTCATTTTTGTCGTTATTCTCCTATGACTTCAGATTGTCCTTAGATTTCGTATTTCCTTTTTATTTTATACCATTCGTCCATGCTTATAATATTGCTGCCACATATGTTCCGGTACCCCTGCTATTTACCTTGAGCTCCTTGATAAAATCCAAAGAAGCATCAGCAATATTATTGGTCCTGATCTGGCAGCTTAGCTTCATTCACTTACCTACGTAAGGTTGCCTCTTTGTGTCTTTTTAATAAAATTCTTTTCTTTTTTTCGCTATGGTACCTAGATTTTTTGAATTTAAGCGCAGTACTAAACTGACATTGAGATCTCATCAATTTAGAGCTGGCCAGATGTAGTCGTAAGTTCAATGCTAACAGTTTCTTTTCTGGCACTTATCGCTTGTGGAGCTCCCTTCCGGCTCCATGCTTTCAAGCCAACTTTAATCAGCAAAAAAATTACTTGCAATGTCAATCGCTATCTACTGTCATCCTAATTACTCTTTCCTCTTCCAGGCTATTATTAATGTGTCCGTTCCTAATTCTTCCACGCCTTGTAACCTCTTATGTTTTAGTGGCTTTTACTGCCTTGCATGTGGTGATATCCGTTAAAAAATCTCTCTCTTTCGATTCTTTGCTTCTTTCTGCTAGTTATCGTTTACATTCTCCCTTTTACGTTCTATGTTTCTAACATTCAATCAGATTGTCCTTTCGCTTGTCTCATCTTTTCTTCTTTTATGCCTTGGTGTTCGATTTTTTTTTTTTTTCGTTTCTGTCGCATATTTATGATTCCTTCCGTAAATCTTTCTTTTGCTTTTCTTCAAAATCTTTTATTAATCTTTATCTATTTTTTTCCTTTCTTTATGGGAGTTTTCTCGCAAGTGTTTATTTTTATTATTCTGCCCAGTCTTCCTTTCTTACTTCTAATCTTTCTTTCTTTCTTTCTTTCTTTCTTTCTTTCGTCCTTTAGTTTTTTCTTTATTTCCTTCTTTCTTTGCTTCTTTCTTTCTTTATTGCTTTCTTTCTTTCTTTCTTTCTTTCTTCCTTCCTTGCTTTATTTTTTCTTTATTTCCTTCTTTCTTTCATTCTTTGATTCTTCCTTTCTTTCTTTTTTCTTTCTTTCTTTCTTCCGTTTTTTCCTCCTTTATTGCTTTCTTTCTTTTTTCTTTCTTTTGTTCATCTTTCTTTTCCCTTTCTTTCATTCTTTCTTTCTTTCTTTCTTTCTTTCTTCCGTTTTTTCCTCCTTTATTGCTTTCTTTCTTTTTTCTTTCTTTCGTTCTTCTTTTTTCTTTTTTTCCCTTTCTTTCTTTCTTTCTTTCTTTCTTTCTTTCTTTCTTTCTTTCTTTTTTTCTTTCTTCAGTTTCCTTCCTTCCTGTCTTTCTTTCTTTATTTCTTTCTTTCTTTCTTCCGTTTCTCTTTCTTTCTTTCTTTCTTTCTTCCTTTCTTTCTTTCTTTGCGTTATCATAAACCTAATCTAAATTAAAATGAAGTGAAAATTCGTCTTTTTCTTCGTCTGTTTCATTCGATTTTGAAGTCTAAACCAATGAATCACAATATATATATATATATATACATATATATATATATATATATATATATACATATATGTATGTATGTATGTATATATCACCATACAATACAAGCAAAATTATAGCACCATATTCTGTTGAATATATTCATTGAGTTCGTCCTACACAAAAAGTATCGACTATCACAGGTTCTTTACCGTAACATTAAAATAATGCTCCAACAATCCATCGATCTATCTATCTCTACCTTTTCATATATGTGTTGTTTTTTTTTTTGGGGGGGGGTTTCATGGTAATCGTTCTGATGAGCTTTCCTCTTTGGTACATAGACTTGATAACTTTAAGTCACATCAATTTACAGTTTAAATGCTTAGATATAATCATAAGTTCTATGCTAACATTTTCTTCTCTCGCACTTGTCGCTTTTACGACTTGTGCTTTCCTATAAACGTTGATCTTTATTTTCTGTTTCCCCAATTCCTCTTCTTTTCTTGTTCTCTCTCCTTAATAATATTTTTTCTTTTTCTCATATTCTTTTACACCCACTAACCACTCATGATTTTGTGCGTTTATTGGCTTGCGTGGGTAAAATGATTAATACACACACACGCGCACACACACACACACACACGCACTCACACACACACACACACACATATATATATATATATATATATATATATATATATATATATATATATAAACAATAGGGGATTGTGAAATTTAGTAAATTATATTTAGCCATTCGACGTATTATCGTGTGTCAGATTGCTCTATGACAGTTACTAGTACCATATAAACTAATACTAGCTGCCTCATTTTTTTGGCCATCAGAGATTTAAACTGGTTCATAGGCATTTTTCTTAATGAGGGTGACTATGAAATTTCTTATAGGGTCAACGGCTAGCTAGCTTAACGGGGTAGCTTGGACTCCATAGCTATGTATGCAGCCAGTGTGGTGATGACATGACATCGCTGGGCGGAAGGCCAATAGCAAGGGTGAAGGTTTCACCGATTGATTAAACGGCCATGAGTTTTCAAGTTGTTGGATGACATCGGCTCTGGTTCGACCCGGAGAGGGATCGGCTAAAGACACGCTGCACATATGAAGGAAAACCTCTTTGGCTTTCAAGTCAGGTAAGAGAAAGAAATATTAAGCGATGAGAGATAGAAGTAAAAATGTGAAAAGAAGATCGTCAAGAAGAAGAAAGAAGAAGAAGAAAATAAATCACCAAATAGACAAAGAAAAACTACTTCAGTGCTTTGAAGTAATAAAAATATAAATTATTCTGTATTCACAATTGAATACATGGTAGATATTTCTCCGCTTTTGTTCATATACCTGTTTGTGTAGACAATTACTAGAAGCGGTGATATATGTTGTAGTTTTGTTGAAGTTATACTTTGGAATACAATTTGATTTCTTTAAATAATTGTAGGATATATGGATTAATGCCATAAAAAGTTCCTTCATATTGATTGAGTATCATTGATAATTTTACTATAAACAGGTATTGTTGTTAATTTTCTTTTTATATAAAAATGTATTGCCGGTATTTTTACTTTAAAAATGTATCTACACTTTTATCGTGTTTTTTTTTGGGGGGGTGATTTCCTGTTTTCCCATCGCTGGGGCCCTAACATGTGCTACCACCCCTGGTCAGGTTGGACCAGGTAACAGAAGTTAAGAGGTAGTTCCATGCTCCAATCTCCCGATCAGATGTCTTGCTGCTGGATGTAGTTTATCATCCTTCCCAGGACTGGGCGATAAAGAAAGGAATAAATAAACTACATTTGCCGAGTTATCAACATATTCTGAATTCTTCAATTTTACACAAGAAAACAACAACAATGACACATCGCTGGCTGGGCATAAAACAATATCCTGTCATAATATTTCCGACTATTTATCTTTCTCTAGTAAAGGCGGGAAATGACCTTTCTTTGACCGATGCCATCTTGCTTTTTAGCAGAGTAATGAGAAGAAAATGAAATGAACGTATCATGTTGCTGACATTGTTTTCTTTGTCTTTTTTTTTTGTGTGTGCTAATTTTATTTTTTCAGGAGTGGGTGATGTTATAGTGAGTTATACGATATCTACTATTTAAGAATGAATTGGAACGTTTATTTGTTATTATCGTTGTTACTGTTGTTCTTGTTGTTGTTGTTGTTGTTGTGTGTGTGTGTGTGTGTGTGTGTGTGTGTGTGTGTGTGTGTGTGTGTTTACCCAAAGAATATATATATATATATATATATATATATATATATATATATATATATACAGGGTCACCAAAAAAAGGGGGAATTTTTGAAGTGCATATTGCCAGACATGACCAAGTGGCAACACTGCGAGACAGTGACCTTGAGCAAGTAAACATTTCGCCATTTAAAATTCAAAATCAAATTCACCGTATCCCATCTGAGATGTTGCAGCAGTCAATGAGTAACCTCAACAGTAGATTTCAAGAATGTATTCGTACAGGAGGACGCCATATACAGGACGTAATTTTTAAAAAATGAAAATTCCATCATTGTTTCTTAAATGGCATGTTTTAAGGTTTCAATTACTATGAATAAAATATTTTTCTTCCATCACTCTTGGTTTTATTGGATTGTTAAAAAGTTCCCATTTTGGGGGGTCATCCTATATATATATATATATATATATATATATATATATATATATAT